CTGTTAGTGGGCATTTAGATTATTTCCAATTTTTGTCTTATAAACAGCATTTCAGTGGACATCATTGGGCATCAATTTTTTCTGTGTCTCTGGTTATTTCTGTAGAGCAGATTAGTCAGACCATTGGGTCAAAGGTCACAGGCAGTTCTAAGGCTCTCAGTGCATAAGGACAAATTGCCTTCCCAAAAAGTTGTGTCACTTGGGTTCTCACAAGTTGAGTGTGGGAATGCCAATGGCACACTAGCTTTTATTTTGTCTTCTGAGGTCACCAGGACAGGGACTTTGGGCACCTTGACCCTGTGCCAAGCTCAATGTCAGCACATCATATGAGCTCCTGTTACATAAATGAGGGAGAGCAGAGGAAGGCCCTGGTTACTATATGGACCATGGGGGCCGAGGAGGGTACAGGTGTCTGAGTCATCATGAAGTCTGGCTCCATAGGACTTACCAGCAGTTGACACTGGGACTCAGTGAAGACTCAGGTGATAACAAGGCATGGCAAGGCCCAGAACCCTCCATGTGGAAGTGAAGTGGCTGATGGAAGATGAGGAAGCCACACTCCACAGTCATTTAGGGGCAGATGCTGGTGGGGACTGTCTGTAGAATGGCAGAAACTCTGTTTGGCACTCCACTCTGTGGGCAGCAGTCTTTATGCAAAGCCCTGGAAGAATGACCTTCACTGAGCTGGGGAGGTCCTCAAACCCTCTGCTCACCTGGACGCCCTGAGGAGACACCCAGGACCAGGCAGCTCATTGTCACTTTCTGAGAACCTGACTTCTTTCACTTACACACACAGGGCCTCGAAAAAGCTCCTTAGGACAGCTTCTCTCCTATGGATGACAATGTCATTACTCTCGGAACTGTTAAAAACAGAGAAGGTAAGAGGCACAAGGGGGCTTCTGGGGGCCTGCTCTATTTCTTGATGGGGGGCTGGTTACGTAGGTATATGCTGTTTGTGAAAATTGACCAGGCCCTGCCCTTGATCCATGTGCACTTTGCAGCATAAATGTTGTTCCTCAATAAAAAATGAAAACCAGAGAGGTTGGGGGAAGAGAACCAGCACTGAGTCTGTCTCTGCACAGGCCCTTTCTGTGGGGTCTATCATGTCCTCCCCTCTCACAGTGACCCTGCCTGGTAGGTATCAGCCATGTTTCACATGGACACAGGGCTGAGTCCTGGGAAGGCTTTTACATGGACTGTAGAATTCAGAAGTATTTCCCTTAAAGCTGAGGATCGCATCTGGGCCAGGCAGAGGAGACTAATGATAACAGGGAAGGAAGAGGAAGTAGAACATTGTGTCTAGACTAGTGTTGATCTCGGATTCAGAATCCAGGATCTAATGTTGATGGATCAGGATTTGGTCCCAGGCCCGTCAGACTGCAAACCCTGAGGAATTTCCATTACACTAAAGCTTCTGATAATAACCATTCATCATATTGAATAAGCATGTTTTGCAGGACAATTTCATATATCATTCCATTGTTTTTCCGAGCAGAGGGAACATGGGGACCCCTCACCCAGCCCCTCCTCCACTCCACCCTGCCTCCAGCATCTCCCTCCACACCACAGGGGGCTTTCTTTTTTACTTTTCCCTAAATATTTTATCTAAAAAATTATGAAAATCTATAGTAAACTTCAAAGATTAGTACTGTGAAAACTCATATAGACTTAGTGTGGGTTCACTATGTTTGGTTTTTTTTTTTTACTATTTTGCCCCATCTGCTTTCTTCGTCCCTCTCTAGAGGGAGCAGATATATTTAGATAGATGTCACAGGAAACCATTGGAAAGTAAGTGGCAGATATTCAGACACTGACCCCTCTCAATGCTGTCCTGTGAATGAGGACCTTCCCCAGGTGACTGCTGTCCTCTCGTCACACTCAGAAAATTTAACATTGCAGTTTCCCCAGCTGTGCCAATAATACTTATACATCTTTTGTTTTCTGACCCAGGATGCACTCCAGGATCTTGCGTTGCATTCAATGTCATGTCTGAGTCTCCTAAGCAGACTCCTCATCCTTCTGCCCCCGCATGTCACCTCAACAAACTCACACATATGTGCACACAGCCCCCAGGCCTGGAGGTGACGCCCCTTGACATTGCTCACTTGTCCGGGCCTGGCTTCACTGCCTCCCCAGCCCTTCATGACCATATGGGGCTGGACCCCAACCACACTCTGCCCCCTCCCCTCTGTGCTCTCCCCGCCCTAGGTCTCTGCCTGGAACTCCTTCTTGACGCCTGGAAAACCAGCCTGACAGTCTCCTGGCAGGAAGCCCCTGGTTCCCAGGAGAGTGAGTCTCCTCTCTGGACCACACAGCCCAGGCCTGCACCCACCTCCCTCCACCCCCACTGCTGGTGTCTGTTTAAGGACCCTTCTGTCCCCATCCCCTCAGCAGGCAGGGAGCTTCTGAGAGGCAGGTCCCAGCTTGCTTGTCCCCTGTGTCCTCAGCAGTGACACAGGGCTGAGACCCAGGACTAGGCTGGGGGTGGATGGAGTCAGTGGATGAGTAAGATGAGGCCTGTGAGGGCCGGGCCAGCCCAGGAGTGGGTAGAGCCGACCACTAGACTCTCCTGCTCCCAGGACAGCCACTCAGTGGGGGAGGCCTCAGGCACGGAGGCCCAGAGCCTGCTCCAGTGCTATGGGGTCTGCTTCAACACCCTCCTCACTGGGGAGGGAGGGGCCAGGCCAGGGTGCATGTGGGCAGACAGGGCAGAGGGGTGGGAGGCAGTGACAGCCACAGCCAGAATGGCTCAGCCCAGGCCTCTCAGGCAGGGAAGTTTGGATATGTGCAGCCAGACTCCAAGACAGGGGAGAAAGCAGCCTGACAAGGAGCTGTCTCAGCTACTCTGGTGCTGGGGTCCTAGGGCAGGTCCCCTCCCAGCTCTGGGCCTCATCCATGGAATGAGTGCAGTGGGCAGATGATCTGACCCCCTGGGACCCCATGCAAGGGCACAGGCACCTCTTGGGCCCATAACCACTCAGCTTGTGAGTGCCAGCATCTTCCTGGTGGAGCCCTTGGGCTGTGGGGGGCTGGGATGGAGAGGAAGGTGGATAGGCTGAGTTGGTGGGCATTGGGATCCTTTGGGACCTTCTGTCTGTCTCCTTGGTGACCCCCAGCCCAACTCACTGGGCTGCAGGGAGCCATAGGGTGGGGAGGCTGTATATCTGGACACATATGTCACTGCTACCCAAGGTCACACCTGAAAACGTGTCTGGCCAGCTGCCCACCATAACCTGAGGCAACTGCACGAGGACGATGCTCTGACCAAGACCCCAGGTGCAGCCCAGGGGCTGGAGAGAATGTCCTTAACAGAACACATGGAAGCCCCAGCAGGCTGGCCTTGTTCTGGCTCTGGCACCCTCCTAGGGGCCTGAGTCCTGCCTGCTGGAGGATTTCCCCATGTCCCCAGGCCCACAGGCAGGGGGGAGGGACGGGTGCTGCTGGAGTCCAGCCCTCTCTTTGTCCCAGGGAGGGGCAGGGATTTGGGGGTACCCACTCCATGGAGACAAGGGGCTGTCTTCTCACATGTCCCTGGTGACCAGGTCATGCTGGCAGCTTGCTGGCAGAGTGACATGGGCCAGGTTGGGGAGGGCCAGCTCTGGGGCTCAGGCTGGGCAGCATCTGGAATCATCTGGAACCCAGAGTCTCAGCCAACCCTTGGGGTCCCTCTGCCTCTCAAACCCCAAGCAGTGTCTATTGGAGGCAAGTTCAGATAGGCTGGAGTGAGAGTTCACGGCCCTGAAGCCTGGTTATTGGAGCACGGTCAAGTGTCCCTGGTTGTCCATGGGGCCAAGAGAAAGCGGATGTCATGGCTGCAGAGAGTCGAGGAGTAAAGCTGCCAGAGCCAGTAGCTTCCTGTGTCCTCCTCACAGGCAGGAATGGGGTGGTGGAAGTGTCTATGGTAGACGCGGCGTGGCCTTGGGGAGACCAGTGGGGGGTGCAGAGTGGGCCTGGAGACCCCGAGGATGGGGCCCTACAGCAATAGTACACCCACCTGCACAAGTGTGTCCCATCCAGAGCCTTCATCCCAAAGCCCTGAGGGGACAGTAGGGAGAGAGGCAGCTGGAGCTGAGGGCCCTGAGCTTGGAAACAGCTGTTGCCTCAGTCTGCACGTGGGTGTGCGCCCCCAGGGGAACCATGTAGACCTGTGCCTGAGAGATGTGTGTACCCGGGCAGGTGGGCCTCCACATCCTGGGACAGGCCTCAGGCACATGCCCTGCTTTGGGAGCCCTGGGAAACTGAGGGACCCCAGGAACTCCACTGCCCTTTCCAAGTGACTTCCTTGGGGTCCAGGCTCTGCTCTCTGCATCCGCCCCCAAGGAGACATGTAGGGTACCTGGGAGGGAGCCTGGCCCCACCCTGTCAGGGACCCTTCTGTGCCTGGTGTCTGTAGCTCCCCCCTGTGCTGTGCAGAGGGCAGTGGCCTGAGGGCATGACCCCAGGACCCAGGCCAGGCCATGTCCCTGACTCAGGGCTGTCCCAGGGCTGGTGCCTCACCCTTACAGAACCTCACCAACTTTACTGTGGACTGTGGACAATCTTCTGGTTTCCAGGAGCAGGCGAGGACTCAGTGCCACAAAGAATACCACAGTGGACACGATGGCAGGCCAGGTTGGTGATTGAGCAGTTATTGCAGATCCCTGGGTCTGTGGGCCTCTTTCCTGCCCACCCTGCTCACCTGCCCAGGTAGCTGGAGTTGGTCATAAAGTGGAAGGTGCTGCGCAGAGTCCACCCCACCAGCACCGGCCACAGCCCACTCCAAAGTCTCTAAGTTCGGCACCTGGGCTAAGGTCTAGGGTCCTGAGGACTCCTTGGCAGTGACATTCCTGAAAGCCCAAGCTGCCTTGGATAAAAGGAGCTGCCAGCCCCTCTTCACCATGAGGAGGTGCAGGTGGGCAGGCAGGCCCCAAGCGGTCCTCAGGGACTGGTGGGCTGCTGTGTGCATCCAGGCTCCTGCGCCGGTGCCTGGCTGAGGGGCTGCAGGGCCTGTACCATCTCTTCTAAGCCAGCAGCCCTGGCAGCTCCCGCTGGTTCTCCTTGCTGTGCCAGATGCCATAGCCAAAATACACCAGGAGTCCTGTAAGGATGGCACAAGCCTGAGGGGCAGGTCCCAGCCCAGCTTCCCTGCTTGCCCTCCTCCTGCAGCCCACCCAGGGTCCCAGCCTGGCCCCACTCACCAATCAGCAGACAGATGGAGAAGCTCAGCCAGGTCAGGGAGCTCAGCTGCAGCATGAGGGAGATGTTGAGGAGGATGCTCAGGGCTGGAGTCAGGGGCACCATGGGAACCTGAGGGGCAAGGGCAGGGCTGCTGGGCTGCAGGGAAAGGGCTGATTTCTTGGGAGTCCACAGAGCCTTTTTCCACCTCTGGAGGTTCCAGAGACAAATGCCCACTCACCATGCAGAAAGAGGGGGATGGTATACAGGCCTCCCCTGCCCCATGAGCCCTGGTGCATCCTGCCACGGCAGAGGAGGAAGGGGCGAAGGGAGCTGGCTGGGCTGAGGGTGAGGGGTGCTGGCTGGAGGAAGTACCTGAAAGGCGTCCTCCCGGCGCTGTTGCTGGTGGGCCCCCAGGACGAGGAGACTGAGCAGAAACACGACGGAACTGACCAGGAGCAGCAGGGTGTGGCCCCAGGGTGGGAGGTGCAGGGCCGAGCCCCCAAAGACCAGCACGCAGTCCAGAGTGATGGCCGAGGCCACCAGGACACGGAGAACCCAAGCCACAGCAGCTCCAGGTCTGTACCCACCCAGGAAGCCGAGGTAGGGCCTCAGGGCTGGTCGCAGCTGCCCAGGCTCAGGGGCTGAGGCCTGCTCACTGCCCACAGGGCTGGCTGGGCCCAGGGAACTGGCTGGAGGGGACTTGTGGAAGCGTAGCACGATAATACTGATTGCCACGAAGGTAAAGGTCAGCAGTACGCTGATGGACCGGAACTGGACCAGTGTCTGGAGGTCCAGCAGCAGCGCCAGGAAAGCCATGAGGACCCCAAACACCAGGATGCCCACTACGGGGACCTGTGTCCGGGGGTGCACATGGGCAAACACCTTAAAGAAGAGCCCGTCGGTGGCCATGGCATATACGATGCGTGGCAGGGTAAAGATGTCACTGAGCAGGACGGTGTTCATGGCTGTGGCAGAGGGTGAGAGGGTCAGTACAGTGAACAATCCCACCAGGGGGCTCTGCTGGGACTCAGGGCATGGGTGGCCCCTTGGTAACAGGGACATGAGTCTATCTGGGCTCTCAGAGTAAGCCTGAGTGTATGTGGGATGCTGAACTGTTCCCCCTCACAACCCAGGAATGGGACAGCCCAGTTTAGGTGGAGACTCTGATGAGGGCTGAGTCCCTCCATCAGGCAAGGACCTGGCAGCTCATGCCCAGAACTGACATTCTGTGTACGATTGGCAGGGGCAGTGATTAGGTCCCTCCCAACAAGCCTGGGTGGAGAGACTAATCATTAGCACCTTCCTGGGCCCAGGATGCAACTGGGAACACAGTCCCAGATGCAGCTGTGTTCCCTGGGTGGCTTAGGGCAGGGCCCTACCACCCTGTCCCCTCCCTCCTTGCCCGGAAAGTCCTCTTACCGCAGATAGCACCAGCTGCCACGATGAAGGCTGCCCAGCTGTAGCCCCGCTGGTAGAAGGCATCAGCGAGCGCAGAGTCAGGGTCCAGGCTGTGCCAGGGCACAATGAGGGTGAGCACAGTGGAGACAAGGATGTAGGCGCCAGCCACCAGGCTAAGCGTGATGATGATGGCCATAGGCACGGCTCGCTTCGGGTTCTGGGCCTCTTCGCTGGAGGCAGCAATGACGCCAAAGCCCAGGAAGGCATAGAAACAGGTGGCGGCACCGGCCATAATGCCAGAGAAGCCGAAAGGTGCAAAGCCGCCCTCGTCAGCACTCCAGTTGTGCGGGCGGGCCAGGACAAACCCCAGGATGATGATGAAGAGGATGACGAGCAGGTTAAAGGCAAGCAACATGTGGTTGAGCCAGGAAGAGACACGGGCTCCACAGGAGACAAATGTGGAGGCCAAAAGTATGACCCCAGCAGCCAAGAAGTCAGGGAACTGGGCCAGGAAAGGCACCTGCCAGATGCCCACATGGGCCATCGTAAAGTTACGGATGCTGTGGTTGAAGATGGCATCCAGGTAGCTGCTCGAGGCGCGGGCCACAGCGGCGCCACCAAAGAGGTACTCGAGGAGCACGTTCCAGCCAATGAGGAAGGCCCACAGCTCGCCCATGGACACGTAGGTGAACAGGTAGGCAGAGCCTGTGCGGGGCACACGGGCCCCGAACTCCACGTAGCAGAGGGCTGCCAGCAGGAAGGCCACAGCAGCGATACTGTAGGACACAAGCACAGCAGGGCCAGCCATCTCCTTGGCCACGGTGCCTGAGAGCACGTAGAGGCCCGAGCCCACTGTAGCACCCATACCCATCAGGGTCAGGTCCAGCGTGGTCAGGCAGCGCCGAAGTGATGTCTCCGTGGTGGACTCCTCCAGTGGCTTCAGCCGGTTCAGCTTTTGGCAGAAGCGTGCCAGGCTGGTGGTGCTGGGCAGTCCCCAGGCCATGGTGGACAGCTGAGAGGTGCACCAAGCCAGCTGCCGGCACCTACGAGGGCGAGAGAGGAGTGACAGAATGACCAGATAGGTCCTGACCAGCCTTCAGTTCTTGCTCTGACCCTGCCCTGGGGACAGAACCCTGGAACCACTGGCTGCCTGGACGGCTGGATGAGGCAGGAGGTCATAGGGAAGCATGGAGATTGCTTTTGCCTGCCTCCGGGGCAAGGAAGGGAGGCTGGTGGAGGGGGACCTGGGCGTGCTTGGGAGGGGCCCTGAGAGTGGGGAGGGGGCCGTCCCAGGGATCCCGACTAGGAACCGCTCCAGTGGTCTGGGATCCCAGGGCAGGGTGGAAGCCCGAGTCTTCCTGGGAGCTGGGCCAGGGCTCCAGGACCTGGAACAGGAGCAACTCTGGCCCAGAGGCCACCTGGACTCAGATAGAAGCACTCATGCCTACACTCCCAGCCCTGCCAGGCTGTATATCAGTGCCTGGTGGGAGTGGGGGACACCCTGGGCACTGCACCTGAGGCTGAGGCCCTGCAGCCCGCCTCCACACTGTGGCCAGAGCCACCTCCACCATACCCCTGTCCCCAGGTAGCAAAGCCGTCACCTCCTCTCTGGTCTGAGTCTGTCCTGCAGGACTTCCTGCAACTCACCTGCTGTCAACCTTGCTGGCACCATAGCTGCCGCTGCCGCCATCACTCTACGCTGGTCCCTACCCCAGGGTGCCAGATCCGGCGCCGGACCCTATATCGTAGTCTTACAGGCATTTAGCCAACACTACCCAGACCTCACACGGTCAAGACCAGAGATCCTCAGATTCCAGGGAAACCCTATTACTATGCCTGATTCACAGATGAGGATGCCCAGGCCACCAGGTAACAGAGTAGCCCAGGTCACTGGGGTGGCCTCTGGAGGCCTGTGGAGGTGAAGGTCCAGGTCTGCGGTGGGGGGGTCTGGAGCCCACCTGCTTTCCACTGCTGCAGACACCCTCCTTGACCCTTGATCCCAACACAGGTACTCCACCAGCTGGGCACCATCCAGGCCCCTCCACACTGGGAGCTGTGGGGCTGTGGGCGTCAGGCAAGACGCTGGTAAGACGAGGGTATGAACCTGGCTGAGAGGCCCTGGGCAGCGCCTGACCTCTGGGCACAACGGGATGGCAGTAAGCCACCCTCATCCGCTGACGAGGGAGTGCGCAGCTCTGGGGACTGTTCTGTGAATCGGCAGGACTCACGCTGGCTGTTCTGAGCTTGTAGCTGCACACGATGTTCTGAAAGGAGGCAAGCAGACTCCTGGGGATGACCTCCAGCTTGGGGCATCCCTAGGGCCCCTCAGACACCAATGACAGCCCTTTCTAGACAGGAGCACCTGTCAAGCCTGGAGGACCCTTGGGGACCCTAATAGCAGCTCCCCACCGTGGATATCTGAGAAGTATCATGGACTGAGCGTCCAGTCCATGCCAGTCCCCACATCACGGGTCTCATCATGTGACCATCACAACCCCCACTTTGGGCTTATTTATTCCTGGGGCTGAGGAGTCTTTGTCCTTCTGCCCCTCCCTCTTTGAAAGTGGAAAGGTTGGTGTGACAGGTGTGAACGTGTTTACAGCAAAATGATGGCAATCCCTCCAAGCAAACCAAAACCAAAGCAGATATCCTCTTCCCCAAGAACTCTCTCCATGTTGTCAGGTTTCTATGTGGTTTGTGGAATAGGACTTTAGGGGCACCAGCAGGCTGTCTGGCTCAGTGGGCTGGTGACAGGATGATGTGATCCCAGACATGATGGTGCCACTTAGAACACTCTGCCTTAGCCCACCCCGTTGCCCCCTTCTGATATTTGGCTGACATCGTCTCGAGGAACTTCTCAGATGGGCTCCCACTGCCTGCACGGATGACAGCTCCCGTACCTCACTCTTTGTGGCCCAAACATAGCTGAGCAGATGTTGCTTGCTCTGAAATGCCTTCACAAAAATCCAGAAAAGCCATTTCCAACCAAGAGGCTTGGGCAATTTTATAACAGGAGTTCCCCTAAGGCCTTGCTGATGACAACCTGAGAGCTGGTGTGCAGGCTTTCAGAGCAATGACTTTATCTACCCAGAGAGGGGCTCTCACTACACACCCCTTCACAGGCATCAACATCCAGTGGATATTCGTGGCCAAGCACGGTTGATGCAGTAAACTGTACATGTCCAGGGATATGGCTGGGCCAAACGCTGCACCCCACTGAGCAAGGCAGTTACACAGACCAACACCATGAAGATGCAGTGAAGAGAAAGCACCAAGAAATACGCAAAGAGAGAACACTTCCCACCTCATCCTACAAAGCCAGGATCACCCTCACACCAAACCCAACAAAGACATCACAGGAAAAGAAATCTACAGACCAATATGTTTTATGAATATAGAGGTATAATTACTCAACTGAATACCAGCAAGTTGAATCCAGCAACGTATAAAGGATCAAGCAGGATTTATCCCAGGAATGCAAGATTGATTTAGCATCTGAAAATCAGTCAATGTAGTATATGCCACACTAATAGAAGAAGGACAAAACCAGATGGTTATCTCAACAGACACAGAGAAAAAGAGTCAGGCAATCTGGAGCAGAAGGGACCACCCTCAAACTGCTAAAGACCATCTACGAAAACCCTCGGCTGCTGTGCTCAGTGGTGAGAGGCTGAAAGCTTTCCCTCTGATCGGGAACAACCTCAGGATGTCCTCTCACCGCTTGTCCTCAACATTTCACTGGAGGCTCTGGCCATGGCAATTAGGTGAGAGCATGAAATCAAAGGAATCCAGATTGGAAAGGAAGAAGTACGACTATCTCTAGCACAGGTGACACGATCTTAGGGAGAGAAAATGCTAAGGAATCCACACAAAAAATTATTAGAACTGATAAACAAGTTCAACAACGGTGCAGGATACAAGATCACTAGACAAAACTCAATTGTATTTCTATACACTAGCAATGAAGTATCCAGAAATGAAATTAAGAAAACAATTCTGCTTCCATAGAATCAAAAGGAATAAGTGTATGTATAGGCGTACATTAGAATAAATTTGACAAAAGAAATGCAAGACTTGTGCACTGAAAATTACTAAACATATTGAAAAAAGTAAAAGAAGACCTAAATGAGTGGAAGGACATCCCACTTTCATGGACCGGAGAACTTAATATTGTCAAGATGGCAATCCTCCCCAATCAGTCTGCAGATTCAGTGCAATCTTTATCACAATCCCAGCTGCCTGTTTTGCAGAAATTATCAAGCTCATTCTAAAATTCATGTGGAGATGCAAGGGACCCAGAATAGCCCAAACAATTTTGACAACGAGCAAAGTTGGAGGACTTACACTTTCTGATTTCTAAACAGACCAGAAAGCTACAGCATTCAAGACAGTGTGTTACTGAAATAAGCATAGACATAGATCAATGGAATAGAATTGAGAGTCCCAAAATATGGGCAATTAATTTTTAAAAATTTTTAGCCAATTTAAATTTATGGCCAATTGATTTTTTAAAAATAGACTTCATTTTTAGGGCAGTTTTAAGTTCACAACAAAATTGAGCAGAAGGTGGAGTTCCCATATACGCGTGCACAGCCTCCAGCACTCTCAACATCCCCCAGCAGATTGGTACATTTGTTGTAATTGATGAACCTACATTGACACATCATTATCACCTAAAGCCCATAGTTTCCATTAGGGCTCACTCTTGGTGTTGTATGTTCCATGAGTTTTGACAAATGTATAATGACATGTATCCACTACTACAGTATGCCCTAAAAATCCTCTGTGCTTCACCTACTCATCCCTCCCTCCCCACTAACCCCTGGGAACCTCTGATCTTTTTCTGTCACAGTTTTGCCTTTCCAGCATGTCATGTAGCTGGAATCGAATCATACAGTATGTAGCCTTTTCAGATTGGCCTTTTTCACTGAGTCACATGTATTTAAGGTTGTCTGATGTCTTCTCATGTCTTGATAGCTCCTTTCTTTTTAACACTGAGTAACATTTCTTGTCTGGATGGGCCATAGTATATTTATCTGTTCGCCTACTGAAAGACATCTTGGCTGCTTCCAAGTTTTGGCAATCGTGAATACAGCTGCTGTAAACATCCATGTGCAGGCTTTTGAGTGGATATAAGTTTCAACTCTTTGGGGAAAATAACAAAGAGTGTGGTTGCTGAATCATGTGGTAAAAGTATCTTCAGTTTTCTAAAAAACTGCCAAACTGTCTTCCAAAATGGTTGTGCCGTGTTGCTTTCCCACCAGCAATGAAAGAGCGTTCCTGCTGCTCTGCATCCTCAGCAGCATGTGGTGTTGTCAGTGTATTGGATTTTTGCCCTTCTAACAGGTGTGGAGAGGTGTCTCAGTGTGGTTGTAGTTTGCAATGCCCTAATGACATAGGATGTGGAGCATCTTTTCATAGGTTTATTGCCAACTGTACATCTTCTTTGGTGAGGTGTTTGCTCAGATCTGTGCATTTTTAATTGACTTGTTGGTTTTCTTATTGTTGTTTTTGATAATTCTTTGCATATTTTAGATAATTCTTTATCAGATATGTCTTTTGCAAATATTTTCTCCTAGTGTATGTTTCATTTTCTCATTTTCTTGGTGGCCAATTGATTTTTTCTTCTGTTTTGGTGGGGAAAGATTCACCCTGAGCTAACAACTGTTGCCAATCTTCCTCTTTTTGTTTTTCTCACCAAAGCCCCAGAGCATGGTTGTATATCCTTGTCATAAGTCCTTCTAGTGCTTCGATGTGAGCTGCCACCACAGCAAGGCCACTGACAGAGAGGTGCTGTTCTGTGACGGGGAATAAACCCAGCTTGCCAAAGAGGTGAGCTCCGAACTTTAATGATGGCCAATTGACTCTTGACAAGAACGCCAAAACAACTCACTGGGGGAAACAATAATCTTTCAACACACTGTGCTGTGACAACTGGATATCCACATGCAAATGAATGAAGTCAGACTCCCATCTCACACCACGCACACAAATTAACTCAAA